AAACGAAACTACTGAAAGCATCATCTGCTCTGAATTGCCTTCATTGATTCTCGCATTTCCTGCGCGCTGACATTAATTGTATTCAATTCAACAATTGTTCAGAGAGGAAGAAATAAGAGAAACAAAAGAAGTGAAACTTTGATGGAAGAGCCATTTAGATATGCACATTATATATAGTTTTGAAACCCCACATCTCTGAAGAAACCTAACTTTTGTCGATGTACAAACAAAAGAAATGAAACTTTGATGGAAGAGCCATTTAGATATGCACTTTATATATAGTTTCGAAACCTTCATCACTGAAGAAACCTAATTTTTCTCGATGTACCTAAGGTGAAATTTTGCCAACCTAGGGCAAGTAATGTCAAATGTCTAATCATTTTAAATATGTTTCGTTTTTATAATCATTCTTAATTCTTCCTGATGATATTGTGTTGAAATGGAATCTCAGGTTATTTGTTTAATAAGGTACTTCAGAGAACTTTGAGATGTTTCAACATATTCGAAAGGAAAAACAACAATAATCTATTTTTACAACACGTAAAGCTTCCTAGCTGTGAGGAAATAAGTAAATATTTATATTCTTAAGCGTTTCATTGTGGATTCACATAGGAGAAACAGCTTGGCCGACAGCTGCGACTGCTTACACTGGCGGGTAGGAATGTAAGTTCCACAATTTGGCAGAACTTAATGTGAATACTTGTTCGGGACTTAGTCTTTAAGAATATATTGATATATACGTGTGTGTGTGTATTTATGTATCTGGAAAACCAAATGTTTACTATAACACTTTTACAAAATTCGTTTGAAATTGTGGCAATTATTTTTGCGCTATTCCGGAAAATATTTCATCATTTGGTTGAACTCGACCATTCTGCTTGTGGATGATATAATGATGGCATAAAATATGATGGGAAAGAGGAGGAAAACACAGTTGAGTTTACAAAGAAAACAATGAAATATTATCATTATTTGGACCAAAGAAAGTCCTGAACGACGAGAACACAATGAAATAGAAACGACACCTAGAATAGAATCAAAACTGAATTTTAAAACAAGTGAGAATTGACAATTGATAATTGGATATTGACAAAACATAAACACAGAAATGGTAACTTAGAATATGTATTTCCACAACTGCATCCACGTTAAAACTTTCTTTAAAAATTCCTGCCGACACTGAGGACATCATCATCTCTAATACCTGCGTCACTCACAATCCCATAAACCTAGATAACGACATTTTTGTCTTCCAACGTGAATGCCATATCGACCAACTTGGTGATAATCATAAGCATATAAATAAAAAGTCAGAAACAGTATAGACTGGCAGCAATCATACAAACCCAGAATCACAAGGAAAGAGCAAGATTAAGGGAAATCTCGATATCAACTTTTAAAGGTATGTGAAATTCATATCATATTTTATATACACTTGTAATTTATATCAGTTATTTTTTATATTTAAACTTAAGATTTTCAGTGACTTGTGATAAAATAAAATATTTCTTTTTTCCAGAAACAACTAGGATAAAACAGAAGTCAAGTTCACATCTTTCCAGATCAGAAAGGTGAGTAATTGAATTAATTGGTGGACTTAACTAACAGTACGTTGACCTGTAACATACCTAACATTCAGACCAATTGAAATACAGTTCTGACTACTGATCCATTAGCGAATTCTTCTGTGAAAAATTAGAATGCTTAGAGCTGTTTTTTCACTTTATAATATCAGTATATGTAACGTAATTGCATCATTTACCTCTCTACATTACTAATTCGATGACGAGGAACCCACTTTGAAAACAATAATGCTTGGAGACGGCTTGAATGGGCAATGAAGAAAACTTTAATATAAGTTTAACATAACAGCAAATGTACAACGTTTCTGATGATGACAGAACCTTGTCGAAACGTT